GTGCACAATAACTGCAAAGCATACAGGAAACCTGGAAGGTGTCATACCTATTAGGTACGGGCTACACATTTATTCTACTTGCACACTGTAAACCTGACACTTCTAGGAGAAATTAGACTACTACGCATGACAGTACAGCAGAGGATGCATTCCCATCAGCACCAGCTGGCAGACAATATCCACAAATCCCACAGACGGCCACAAAATATCCTGGCGTACAACAACTGCATCAGAGGAATCCAATCTGCTGGCATTCTCAAACATCTAGGAATGTTCAAATCTTCCCCGTTCAACATTTTCCTGCCAAAGAGGGAACACATCCAGCAAAACCATACACACACACACATATGTATATAGTAGTCCTAACTGTCTTAAATCAGAAGGTGAAACGGGAATGGAAAATTAGATAGTTAGCGTGATCTGAATACACTTCTGCTGCATCCCTAACATAGTAGGTCAGCCAAAACAATAGGACTTCTATCTTTGACTTTTTTATGCTGGAAAAAGGACAAAGAAATTCTTCTTGCATACCACTAAGAAACACTTTAAATTCTTATACACAGCAGCCAGCTGGTGTTTGAAGAAACTGTTCACAGCTTTTTTGCATTGCAAATGCGACTTCTCTAGAAGATACCTTCCCAACAACACCTCTGTAGTTCTGAGCATGGAGCGGAGAAGGAGCAGGAGCTGTGAAAAGGCAGCTGCTTGACCGCCCAGGCAATCAGCACATTGGGAAGCCATGAGACAGAAGGAAGATTTGGGGACAAGGAGACAGAACGGCAAAGTACTGCAGTGCACAGGGGAAAGAATATGTATAAAAGCTGGATGCTAGAAAGGGGCTGTAATTTGAGGACTATTAATTTTTTGTGTGATTTTAGCTGGTCTATCTGTAGAATAGCCTGACAAAACACACAGACCTGATTCCAAGAGTCCCCTACATTACTATTACAGTATCATAACTTAACGTGGTCCATACTATACTCTTTTCTATTACATAACAGAAATGAAACTGCTCTAAAAGTACATTTCTTCAGATGCATTTAAAATCACATAATATACTTAGAAAAACATTTCCAGCAAAAGCTTTCCTTAAATACTCAGCTAAGTACTTCTTTGAAATTTGTGGCTTTTTGACTCCATACATTTTATTTTTATTGGCTTTTGGACCATAAAAGCCTGGTTAGCGCTGGGCTTCCAGATTCTAAAATATTTATTATGTTCTCTGGCCTGGGGCTGGCAACTGAACTATGCAACAGGTGGTCCTGAAACACATCCAAAATCCAGGAACAAACTGGCACCTATCATTCCCCTAGACATTTCACTGTAAGCATGTAATACAGTTCAGGCTTCTGAGGCATGTACTGCCCTGGCATGAAAACAATGGTTGAATATGATGGTTGACATTTTTCATTAAAATACAGCGTTTCCCCAATGGAAAAGTGTTTTAAACAAAAAACAAACAAAAAAAGGAGGAGGAGGAGGGGAGGAGGTTTACCTGGGTAAAAGATACACGGTGGGAAAAAGAACGTATTTGCAGTACACCACGGGAGTTTCAGTTCATGTATTTTGAGTTTCCAACTTTCCATCATGGTCAGAACTTCCTGGTTGGGCTATATTTCCCAAGAAGAACTAAAACCATACAACTGCCATGAAGCACTCCCTTGCCAATAAGAAGAAGAGCCCAGCATAGATGGTAGGAGATATGGCCAGCTATCAGGCCAGACTTTATAGGAGATAAAGTCTGATGGGCACTTGGAACATAGATGAAGAGGGCAGCATAAAGTACCTGAACTGCAATTCTCCAGAGGCATAACAGCAAGATTTCAGGACCCAGATGTAGATAGTTTTGCTCCTACTCAACCAACCAGCCAGGCATTCTTCTACAGATGAAATTCATCGCTTTTTGACTAAGCTCCTCTCTTCTCCCCTAGCATTTGCCTGGTTTCATACTATTTTATTAGCTTCTTGTCTAGGTGTGCGAGATTCATAGGGTCAGCTTGAGAAACGACAGTGGATAAAGTCCCTAAAAACTTTCATTTTAGTCAGTGGCTGGAACATAAGGGTTTAAGGGACTCCTGTTGTAAGAGACCAATGTGGGGGGAAAAGGCCTGAATCTGCAGAATCTGCAGGCACTAAAAGTCAATGGCGAAAGGTGTCCTGGTGTTTTTCAAACCAAAGGGCTAAAGAAATTGAGTATTTTTTAATTTAAAAAATCCAGAAAGTACAGTACCTGCTGGTGGAGAAGACGGGGGGGAGAGGGATGTTCCAAACTTCAGCACTGCTCCCTTGATTTTATTCCTTCTAACCTCAAAAGCAGTCTCTCCACAAGTCCCCTCAACTTGCCACCATCCTAGAATATTTAAAGTGCCACAGCAAATAGAGGGGCCAATACCCACTGTTTCATTTCCTGCAGACTCCAAAGTAACGCTTGCATCTGTTCTTTACGATAATATTAATTCACTAGAAAAAAAAATCAAATGTGTGAAAACTGGCAATAGCTTTTATTCTTTAGGGAAATTTTAGGAGCCTGGAAGAGAAAGAGCAGGAATCCTTCACACACACATACACCTTGAGCACATGGAGAGAAAGAATTTGGATTAGCTGCTTTCATGGTTTGAATGCCAAATTGCCAAAAAAACATTTGGCATTGACTATGGGGATGTTTCCCCATAGTTACTACACATCAAGTAACATAATGGAGAACATATGAAAAGAATAAGAAAAGGAAAAAACTAGAAGAAAGGAAAAGGATAGACATTGAGGATAGCCGCCACCCCAAAGGAGTACATATAGGTCCTGCCCCCTGCAACAAAGTGCAATTGGGGGTTATCAGCATTTTCCCTCTGACATTTAACTGGTCCGTTGCCAGAGAAGCACAGTGAGTAAGATTTTGGTTAGAGACTTCTATCCACATGAGGAAATTAAAAATGGCAATGCAATCCTATAGGAAGTAGCTCCCGAGGAGCAGAGGTTTTGATGCCAGGGCCAGATATTTAATAGCTTTCCCAGGCTTTACAGCCAGGTCCTGTCTTAGTTCCCTTTTTTTCCTTATTGCTATGCCCCTGGAAAGACACCTTCATGTTTACTTGGCAGTATACTTTGGAAAGACAGGACAACAGAAAAATGAAGGAGGTAGCAACATTTTAGACCTGTTCCAAGTCTCTGCCATTGCCTTACCATGTAGCTACCAAGTCATTTATAATAACGCAAGCTCCTCTAGGGTTCTTCCCTGCCTCAGAAATTCTTGGACCAGTTTGTGGATATTTAAAAGATAAATGGACTATATTTTCTTCCTTGGAAATAGAGTTTGACACCGTCAGTGCAAATGTTTCACATGCAAATGACTCCATTGGAAACCTGAAGAGTCACCACAGTTCTGCTTGCACACCTAGCTACAGAGCTCAGGAGAAAAAAAAAAAACATTTACTAGTCCACCTAGTAAGCAATTTGTGATGGAAAAACTATCTAGGATTTAAAAATGAAAACTGTAAATTTAATTATGTGGCAAGGAACAGGAACTTATTTTATTCAAAATACCATAGTTAATTTGCCAGCTTAAATAGAGTAAGCAGCTTTGGTTTTTATTGACATACTTGTAAATGAAAAGGGAACCAAGTTGATCACGACATAAGGCAAAAGTAACATCCGAGAACAGTAATATATATTTCTATTTTCCGCAGTTCCATACTGCTGGAATATTCTCTTTAGCTCTGTCTCCTTATATTTACTATCCAAGCTATGCCAAGTCTGTGACTACATCCCAAATGTAAATAGTGCACTGGTATATTCTATACAGATTTATGGAGTGGGTGCCTGTGTGATGCATTAGGAAAATTCTGTCGCATGCTTCAGGAATCAAACGCCGGCTCCTTACAGTGAGACACACACTTATCAAAGTGCTCAGAGACATTAAGCGTGTTATAAATTGGCTCACAGCATGAAAAACAGATTAAAATATTCAGTTTTTGCCTCGCTACGTTTTTTATTTAACCATATTAGCTGTCATTTTTTTCTCCCCTGCATGTTTGCAAAAGAACAACTAGCTCAGAACAGGTGTAGGCAAGCTGGTGCAGGGAAGGTAATACACCCCCTCACTTTTATTGAATATCGAGAACTAGACTTCCCCCGACAGCAATGTGCAGGACTGTGAGGTCTTCAAAAGTACCGCACTGACTTGTGCTGGATGAACGGAGCACAAAACTCACAACACATGGAAGGAAAGAAAAAGAACAAAATAACCAAAACCCAAAAAACTGTGTCTGTAGCTGCCATCAAACCAGGGCTAGGTTAGTTCCTGTGTGGGAAAGGCAACACCGCTACCGCATTGCCAGCGCTGCGGCCAAATGCCTTCCTACCCCTCATCCCCGCTCCCCACAAGAGACATCCTCATCTTATCCCCTCGGGAGTGACTTATTTGGCAACCGCCCACTTGGAATATTACAGCAACGACAGCAGGACTCTGCGAAGGGAGAACTAACTTCGAAGGATGCCCAGGCAATTGTTTGAAGCCCATTACGGAATAAAACAAGATACCTACAGTGACTTGCACATGAAAGAAGCAAGCATTTCTGACTTAAATCTTTTGAAATAGCATACATAATTAATTTTTGCTAGGGAAGCAAGTTGATCTTGTAGCTCGTTGGCACCACATGTTGGTTTTTCCTCTGTAAAAACATAACGAGGTGCATATTGGTGCAAAAAGGATTAGGTTCATAGCAATTTGCACAATTCTTTCTTTTAGCAACTTTGCATTATTACCATTTTCAAAGGCAGGACTTGAGGACTTATCAGCATTGCTATCTGAGGAACTTTCTTAGGCTGTGTGATCAAGAACTAGACACAACAAATTCTCAACTGTAAATGTCAGACCTCAGGCTAGGCATGCTTTGGTTTCCCCTTAACACATAAATGGAGGATCACATCACAGATCAAATGTCAGAGTCACTGACTACAGGAAATTAATTCAGTTAAGAGGAAAGCCAAAACAATATCAAAACATCTTTTTTTTTTTAATTGGAACTCAAGCTTTATGCAACACAAACATGACATAATTTCAAGGTCAAAGGAGCAGATGGAGGTTTTGAAGGAGTTCTGATCTAAAACTCCAGAGAAAGACCCAGGGTGAGAGTTAACGTAAACTGGGGCTTTTGCAAAAGTAACTTTGTTCAGAGGGGGCCTGCTGGGATGCTTGGGACAATTGCTGGACAAATGCCGCTAAGAGGGTCCCAGGGGAGTTTGAGAGTCCCCGTAGCACTAATGTGCTCTCAGAAGTGGCAGAGATCTTTCCATAGTGTTGTAGGTCTCCCCTCCGTTACCGTACAGTCTCACATCAGCACACGGCTCTGAGTCCTCCTTTCAGATTTGAGCAGGCAAGTGGTGAAACTTTGATCAAATATTTTGATAAGTTCAGGTTTTGTTTCAGCTACTTTTCATTCGCTTTCCAATCCAAATGCCCTTATCTGAGAACAGCTGTCCACCTCTGCAAAGAAGTTTTTGAACCTGAGCTCCAGTATCTGTAATATTCACAGAGACACCACGGTGGGTCATCCACCTCTCTAATTTCCAGACTGAACCAGAATGAGAAAAAGGCAAGGCTGTAACACCAACTTCCAAATCCCACTCCAGACACAAAACACTGGAGTCTAGAATAAACACACACAGACTTCTTTCCTGCATTAGGGCCTCAAAAAGAGCAAAGGATAGCTTCTAGACTTACAGCCCTAATTAAACACATACTTCCAGGAATTCAAGTTGTATATGTGAAATCTTGCATGAATACAGACTTGCATATACATGTTAATACAGCAAGCAAAGATAAGTGTGTGCACATACAAAGGGACAAAAATACAGCTGAAAATTCAAAAATCACTTGCTAGCCAGAAAAAAAAAAGGCTCAAATGCTTGGCCTTCCTCTTCATGTTTCTTTGGCCTTGTATTTGGAATATAAGCAATACAGAATCCGCATTGTAGTCTTCATATCTCCTTTCACAATATCTGTGGACACATAAGAAACAAAAACCAGATGGGAAGTATTAGTTATCCCTGGAATAGAAAGAGGTGCCAACTGCCAAAGACAATCTCCACTCGCCTCAATTATAATGCAAACTTAGACAATCTAATTGTAACAAGAAGCAAAACAGGACCTACAGAATTAGAAAATTATTTCTCAAATAAACTTAAGGAAAGGGGGCCTTTGCTGCACTATCTTGCTGGAGGACAGGATAAATAATACATAGCAAGAAGCAATTCTTCACCAGCAGAGGAAAGAACAGATAATTTAATAGACTTTACAGCTTTAGTTTTTTATGATTCCGCTCCGATATGAATCATTGCAGGGATCACCTAACACTTCATTTTTCAGTTGTTACATTTCCATCATGTTTTGCTGCTGTTGATTGTTTTCTTTTTCTCTTCCATGGTTTCAGCTTTCATGTTTTTGCTAAGCAACCTGCTCTCATGTTTAATAAATGTAATGGAAGAGGTTAAGTGGATGTAGAAGGTTTACTGTTCTTCTTACATTGCTGTGAAGCACTAGAAGACAAACTAATAATGAAACACTACTAGATGAGGTCCTTAAACAGTCTAAAAAGTGTATCTATTAAGTCCCTTAAATGATATTAAATTAAAACATTGGCTGAGGATTTTCCCAGTGAAGTTGTACTAAAATGATCTGTAGTTGTTGGCACCAATATTTCGTATATTGATCAGCTCTGCATTTCAGTACACAACAGTCAGAGCAAAGGAAAAAGCATGGTTTTACCTCCTTTCACACAAAGAGTAGAACTCAGCAGGGAGACCTGAACTCATGCAAATTACACTTTTCCAGTTTAACAGAAACAGCCCTGCAAACTCCTAGCTCTATGCAATATGGCAAAAAGGCTGCAACTCTTCTCTGCATGACCAACATGCAGATTGACAACACAACAAAAGCCTTAGCGGGGGGAAAAAAAACAGAACCAGAGAAGTCGTCCCAAATTCTATCCTTCCCTCTCTGTGATGTCATGGGCTCCACACTAAACATAAGCAAAACAGATTTGCTTATGAATAGCTAACTGTCAGGGGATTAATAAAGCTTTGACTTTACTTATTCAACAACAAGTTTTTGAGCTTCCCAGAGCAATGATGGGGCGCAGGCACATAGCCTGTGCTTTGCAAAAGGTCAGACTAAATGGTCATAACACTCCCTTGTGCTATTTTAAAACCCATTAATGTATCCACATCCTTCAGACCTGCCCATCAGGCCGTCTTACTCCTAAGTAGAGCTGGTCAAAAACACTTCTGTGAAGTATTCCTTTTTTCATTGGAAAATTGGACTCATCCAAAGAAAATCTTTTCTGGTGTGGCAAGAGAAGGGAACGTGAATGCATGTCCCAGTAAAAACAAGCTCAGACCGTTAACTCTGTGATGACAGCGCTCATTTGTATGCAGGAGATGAGGGCTCAGCCCCCTAGTCTGAACTAGGCAGAATAATAACATAAACCTATGAATTTCACATTCAGGGACTGACCCCACCAGCTATTCTGGTTTGGATAGAGCAGTCAGCCTTTCTGATTTTCAGGACATGTTCTGAAAGGTCTCTTTCCACTAGCAACAAGCTTGTTTTTAAATCACAAAAGCTTCTTTAGAGATAGGAAAATGGCTTTACCTCCAAGTGAGCTGTTGTACTTTCATTAAGCACGGCCACTGTTTTAAATCTTTAACAAGTACTAGCTTATCAAACAGTGCGAGTTTAATGTAAAGTTATTAAATTTATAACAAAAGAACTTTCTTAGCATGGAAACAAGTGTTGTTCAAAACACTATTCAGTTGTTCACTCTGCATGCGGAGCTATGGGGCAGCCATATAATGAAAAGTATCAGCGTCACATTGCAAAATCTTCTCTCTTCAATCACCCTAACTTCGGCTAAACCAGGGTATTAGCAATTCCAGACATGTTTGCATGCCGTGACTCACCTTCAGAGTTCACAGAAAAATTTAGCAGACCTCCATCTGTCAGCAAGTCCACCGCAAGGTTCACGTTGTGAAGCTGTTGATGAGAAAGTGAGATCAATGCAACAGAAAATGTTTTCCACCTAAGGGTGCACAGGCCGTGTTGTTTTAAGTATCTCTCTAGTAGCTGAAGTAAGATATTGATTCATAAATTTGTACTCATATTCCTCTCTTTAGCTTTGATGGAGTGCTTATCACAATTTCTACTAATTAGCATATAAAATCTGAGGTAAACTCCAATCTCCAATAAAATGTATCCCATGAGATAGGCAGAACAACCCATTTAATTGAAAATAGACCTTGCATGTGAAAGTCTTGTGTTAAGGGATGTTTCCACTGGGAAAACAGGCTAGATTCACAACTGGATCCAACAGATGCGAGGAATTTATTTCAACTTCTTTTTATAAAAAATGCCTCATATGCTGGCCACATTTGAAATGAAAAAATCCCCTAAAAATGCAAGCAAGAAGC